CATATCACTATAAAGTGTAAGGGGCAAATATAACGACGTTTCATTTTTATGTCTATTGGGGTACAGAATCTCTCTCGCGGCAAATTAGACTTGAGTGATGTTCATACAACAGTAGTAATTGCTTTTTCGTTCGTCGGTTTTTTGTTGGGTTGTTTTCCGGGGGGAGGGGGGGTTAAGGGGAAGAACTAAGTAAGACACAATGTAACTGATACACTGCACAAAGAAATCGTTACCTGTAACAATTGTTACGGTCAATAACTGCACTCATTATAGTAACAAGTCTATACCCGTAAACTCGATCATGTTCGTATAACAACCGTCACTCCGTACCAAGCTGACACTAACCAACATAAGGGTGAGCGATGACCAGTACGTACCTTGTCCTAGGTCCTATTTGTAAACACACTGATGCCTTATGCATGTGTTTGACTTGTTTGGCAGATCTGTAAACGTGATGCTAGCAATAACTCATTGAATAAACGAGTTTGCACTTTTATTGGTACGTACCTTGCTGGTGGCTGTCGTTGATACATGTACGTACGTACATTTATACAAAGCTTTTCATGAAATTGCGTCCATATTACTTCATTAACGACAAGAATCATACTCCGTCACCCTGGATTCACTCAACCAATGAATAACATCGTTTTGATTTGTTGCAATTTCGGAGCATGCATCTAAAAATTGATATCGTTATAGTTCTGTCATCCCAATAATTATATTCATACATTTTAACATTTGTGGATTTAACTGATAATATTTCAATCAAAATGTTGGCTAATTTTCCTGCGGATATTTATTATTTCCGGAAGTCATCGATACAAATTTGATATAATTCATTCGTCATCAGCAGACCTGGTTATGATCTGTAGCTATTCTGAACGGGTACCCGGTCATCATAACTTTGATAGGGTCGAGGGATTTATTGCAATTGCGGATTCTTTATTAACGAATTTCGGTCTGCACGGGGCAACAACTAAGATGAAGATTATTTATAAAATTGATTGAGCTATTCATGTAGTTTAATTACATACGTGTAATTGTGATCTTATGGCAAGTTTAGAATATTACGACTTCATCTGGAGGCTTCAATAACAGCAATGGAAAATATGAAATGTACATACAGTTTACCTAGAGTCCATATAACATAAATACGTTTTTGTAATATTTATCTTTTGTTCTGATTTTATTATTTTATTATTTTATTATTTTGTCTTTCGTAATATGGAATGCATTGTTATTCTCATTTTGAGGAAATAACGATAATAATAATTCATGTAATTCCACCCGGAGCCCGATTCCACATGGAAGCCCGAATCCCTTGCTTTTAATCGTGAATTCAAGCGTCATGAGAACAATCATGTTTTACCTCACGAAACTCCCCTCTATTGAAAACAGTGTAAGTGATATACCAAGTATCCACAGTAATGATCAGATGTTAGATAAGTGACTAGAATGTAATGACTGTTACATTCCTGGTCAAAATATATATATCACTTCCATCATGTCGTCCTCAGAGCTACTGTGCGTGCTTTTCGTGAGCCGAGCATGTAAGATTATCCCAAAAATATCTCGGACACCGAGATTTTATCTCAAGGCAAGTCAGGCAATGTGATTTCCAGCCTCTGTGCTGTCCACTAACTGGTAGCTTACGGCTATATCCGGATGTGTTGGACAATAACTTCGTTAAGAGAAACTGACTCCATACACAATACTGCTGTCAAATGGTGTTTAATGTTTGGACATTCACTGCACTGCCTCCTTCAAAACTGTATGTTAAATTACCGCGCTAAAATAGATTATTTTAAAGTAACATTAAGAAGCCAGGTCACGATTTGAAATAAAATACAAATGCTATATCAAGGTTATCATTTATTACACTAAACATTAATTTTCTGTAATGTCCAATCTGTCGTATGAAATTATTGAATGTAACTATTTGACCTCTCATTATTGACGTTACAGGTTGGCCATACGGTTCGATGATGTGTAAAGTGACGCCTTACCTGCAGGGCGTGTCTGTCTGTGCGTCCGTCAACACTCTAGCCGCCATTGCACTCGACAGGTAGTATACTATTGTACTGGTCGCCATTCTTTCCTTGATACTGAGACTGTTCGATAAACAAGTATTTTATATTGTTTAAAATCTATCTGACCATATTTTATTGATATGTTTCAAATATGAATGTACACCTTTGCATCTTATACAAAGAAGGATACACGACTGTATGAGCTTTGATAATCTACGAGTAACACAGACAGATGACTGTTTCGGGCTTTTCTTTCTATGCACATCTTAAATCAAAATGTCCATAAAAACCCTCAGAAGAAGAATTTACATCCAAATCAAATGTATTCAATGAAGAGTAGACATATATATATTTAAAGCCTGATTTTCCGTTAATCATTCGGACGACTTGCTCTGTAATATATAACGACAGGTAAATGATGAGGTCATTGTACATCATAAAATCAGTACAACACATTAGACAGCGGTCTGGTGATAATTTACAGACGCTGTTAACAAGAGAATACGAGACACGTCCGGTACAGACGTATATTTATCACTCAGTTCCAATCCACACGCCAGTCTCCTGGTATCTCTTCCTTTGCAAATTAAAAATGATTGCATTTCTATGTCGTTCTGTACATTATCTTTATAGTAAGCGTCTGTTTAACTAAGATGCTTCAATGTCGTTTATTCTATGTAATATATAGGTGACCGACTTGATATCTATCACTTGAGCTAAATCAGTTCCATCGATAATAATTGTTGCTTATAAGACTCAGAGAGCAGTTCATCGGACAGCTCATGAGGGAAATACATGTTGTTTTTACTGTGAATGTTACGGCACAAAACAACTGTTTAGTTACATCATGTATTGGAGTTTGGCTCCAACAGTCCCGTATAACTTATTCTTTGATCGATGCATTGATGATGTCGTCTGCCGACGGTTACGTTCTGTGTTAGTCCCCAAAAACACTCAGTTGAAGCCTTGGCGCGCTCAACTAACGGGTCAAAATTAGTGACCGGTGAATACTTTTGAGTGTTGACAGACATGTAATGTTTTCCCTGTAACTATTCCGGGGAAACATTAGAATTTGTTGAAAAACCGTTCATATTTAGTCAGAAGAGTATCTATGGAAAACGTATAAGTCAGTCAAAGCATTTTACTTGACAATAGTTTTGAATGTTGCCTAGCAGTCATCCATTTGACCTACCAAACCGCCAGTTGGCTATGCTAAGGACTATTGCTTCTTTTAGCAAGCTGACTAGTCATGTGTTCTTTACCACCACAGGGAAAATAATCAGTAAACAGGTTCACCAAACGACATCATGTTATCATTGGACATCGCTTTGTCGATGAAGATTTACTGCCTTAATATAGAACTTTATTGATAATTTGACAGTTACAGCTGGTTAGAGCCCCGGAAACAGTGCACCATCTCGGGAAATTTGATTGATTATACAATACCATAACTCTTGGGTTTGTTTTCACTTTATTGATATCATCGATATTTTTACAACATTAGAAGAACATAATACATTCTACTATAGTACAAGCATTGATAGACATAGAGTTTGTACTTAAGTAGATAGACGAAAATATTTCTGCTACAGAACCAGCAGATTTTTTTCACTCTAGTAGACAAACATACATATTTCTTCGAACGTAGATCAACATAAACATTTCGACTGTAATTCAACAATAGGTACACATTCCAACAGAACATAATTACCATTTTCATAACAGTAGATTCAAAGTTGACATTCTACAATCACATTTGCATACAGTATCAAAAGACATTTTGCTTTTAAGATAGAAAATATGGAAATACATATTTTAATACAACAGACAAACATAAATCTGTTTACTTGAATAGATAAACTTAGACCTATCAACGACAGTAAACATTAAACGTTCAATTGGTGTCTTCATCATTATTAAATAAAAGAGGATATCGAGAGTTATTATTATATTTACAACATTAAATACAAATATAGTTCACGCGTGCTGGCATTAATTTTTATTATAAATATAATGTTTAAAATTTCAAAAATATAATAAAATCGATTGAACATTGAGCTACGATTCCCGCAACTAACGACAATATGGTATGTCAATGCTAGTCATAGATTTTATCTAGTTTATATATTACGTATGTCTAGGTTATGCTAGATATACAAAACATTCAAGCCATATCGAAGTTCGTCTGCTTGTTTATAATGTGTACCATAGAGTACGGCTACTGTATTTCGGTTTATTATAATCTACCATTTTCAGTTTCAGATACAACTTTCTAAACCACGAACTATAACCACAATCGTTTTAACAAACATTTTCTTTGGTCATTTCAGATACTTGGCTATCTGCTACACTCTGAATTACAAACTGACCGGAAAGATAGCCCGAGTGGTGATGGGCTGTGTTTGGGCGTTCGCCTTGTGTATCATGATTCCTTGGGCTGTCTATTACCAGCATGACCAATATCGGTCATCGATACAAGCCATTTACATCTGTCGTCTTGTTTGGCCTAGCCAGGTTTCCGGGAAATTCTTTTTGGCTGGAATCTTCCTAGTGTGTTACACCATCCCACTACTTCTTATTGTCGTCTGCTACGCACTCATCGGTTTACGGGTTTGGAACAGGAATGCTCCAGGGATATTCAAATCTAACGGAATCATCCACAAGTCCAAAGTGAAAGTGATCAAAATGCTCCTTGTCGTTGTCATATTGTTTGGGTTGTCATGGTTACCGTTATATGCCGTCAATCTCAAGATAGTTTTTTCGCCGCCATCTTTGACAGACATGAATACAGTGACAATACTGTATGATTATTTGGTGCCGGTTTCACAATGGCTGGGACTAGCAAACAGTGGGATAAACCCGCTCATTTACTGTTTGTTTAGTAGGAAAATCAGGACAAGAATTAAGGTTATGGTCACCTGTAACGAAACGCAAGAATTTAAACGCCAGTTTAGAAAGTTTTCTAGTACGAAGTATGTTTCCGTTGACTATACAAATGGTCACGTGACATTGAGAACTCATGGAACAGAGAAAGAAAGGAGAACAAGGTCACTGAAATCCCTTAACAATGTGTATGACTGACTAGCCGCGCATTTGTGTTTCTGTTGTAAGTAAACTTTTAATTGGCTGGATACGTCATCTATTATTTCTGTTGCAAACAAAGTTCTGATTGGCCATATACGATATATTACATCTTTTAGTATTTTGTAAATTACTACATTGTATTTTTAAATATGCTGATTTTTTTCTTGAGAAGATGCTGATAAACACGAAATAGGATCCAATCATCTTCTCTTAAACTGTTCTGAATGAGAGAAAAAAGGTCCATGAACTTGTGTTATAAAGAGAAAGGGCGAAATTGAACCTTAATCTATTTAATCTATTTACTCATGTGTATTGTAATTATTGATGGTGTTCGTGAATTAACTGTTAATTTACATTGCTGTCGATTTGTTTTTCATGATTGACTGAGAAAAAGTTATCAAAATGACATTAACATTGTAAGCAGAATAATCTAATCTGTTCTTAAACAAATGAAATGTCATCTTTGTTTTTAACAGCTTTTATCACACACAAAAAAAAGTAAATCGTTCTAGTGTTGGTACGACTGTGTTATATTGTAACAGGAAAGAAAATGGTTTGCTTCCACCGGGGATCGAACCCTCGATATTTAGGTTCCTAGTCGGACGCTCTACGAATGAGCTAAAGGGAAATTCCTTCAAGCTGGAAGCTAGAAGGCGACCATAATCCTATTTACAAATAAAACCCGCCAAAGTATAAGGTCTCACATGTAACTGGTAACGTTGTGAAGGTATTCAGTGTAATAAGAGCTGCAAGAAGCGAAGCTCTTTTCCGGTAACATGTACGAACAATTGAA